ATAATATTAGAACAATTAATCACAATACAAGGAAAATATCCACTGAAGAGCGAAATAACAGAAATATTCCCGCCAATTTTGTCATAACTTCGACGCGTCCACACATCCGGGAAATCGATTTGCGAAGATGAAAAGCAATTTAGGCCCATCTTAAAAGTGATATTAGAAAAAAGGATTTTACTTTGATATTTCGACAACAAGAAAGAGATGATACTTTATTGGAAATACTTCAATAATATGGACCAATATGGGAAAAAGCAGGGATCTATGCGAAGTTCTTTTGTCGACTAAAAGTGTGGACATTTCGAAACCAAGAACATGCTAGCAGTTAGATTGAGAGAGATTAAAAACAAAGAATCTACAGTCTTGAATGACTTAATAAATTGATGAAACTTATGCTTGAAACAAGTATGGCTTTTGAACGATAATTTATCGGAAGTTCGATAATGAAGGTAAAAAATATATTTTTGTATACAGTTTTCTGTGATATGTGAAGTTCGAGTAGTCCGGGTTCAAACATCGATTATTGAAACAATGTTGATTATTGTAAGCTTATGTAGACTACTTTTTGCCGAGAAGCTTTCAGTTTACATTTAATTATAATTTTAAACTTCATCCAACGGAACAAAATCTACCGAAGTCAATATAATACTTACGAACTAAATTCTCATAAACATTCTCTTTATAATATTTGTTCGCATGTCAACAAAACTGTTGTAGCTCACATTCCTTAGAACAGAGCATCTACCTTTGAAATAGCAGTACTAGATAATCATATTCAGCTTCTATATTGCTATTGGAGCTCCGCTATTAGATGTTACCTAATTTTTATATTAAATATAGTGTAAAATATGAAGCTAAATGTAAGAGCAATAGAGGATATTACATGGTTGCGCCGCGGGGATTTTATCTTCGAGTGCTGAAAAGATCTCTCACGAGTGAGCGTAGCAATGACAGGAGGCTATTTGTGGCACACTCATCAGTTGAGTTTTTCTTTCGTATTGTTAACTATCGACAAATCTGTATATAGGACCCTGCAGGCGAAAATAATACCTTTTTGATGAACCAGTGACAAAATGAAATAAAACTGCATGGAGGCTAACTCAACAAGCAATATTAATATATCGTCTTTGTAAATAATGCAATGTGCGAGAAACAATATTGACTTTACTTAGACATATTGAAGGTGAAGTGTTCAGGGGGGCTCGAGGAAGGTTTTATCGACGAATAGTGTAAGAAATGTCAAGATTGTGAGTTGTAATGCCATTCTAAATGTATTAGCCGACATTTTCAGCTATAAAAGCAGCCTGTGTGCTGTCCTGTATGTTTTGATGTCCTTTGTCTTCATGAGCGAAAAAACATTTCATTACGAGAAGTCAACGAAACGCATTTTGGACACATTATTGACTTCGTATACGAAAAAAAAATATGTTAACAAAAATTTCTATCGAAAATTATTGACACGTTGGAGCCGTGAGTTGGGAGCCGGTTTTTATATATTTAGTATTTTATGTTTTCATGTTTGAAAAAAAAAGCATAGTCGAGTTCCAAATAGCTGAGACTGAAAGAGAGCATGGGAAAGAGTCAAAAAATTGCCAGCACTTAATTTGCTCTCTACAAGCAAAAACGCTATACTCTGATGTAACGTGTTGAGATTTGAATTTCTGTATCCTCCTGAGTTACCTTGAATATATCACCTTTTTTCCTGTCCTTTCAACGGTTAATTCAATTAGAAAGGTAATACTTCATGGAAAGTGTGCGCGTACGGTTTTGAAGTATCAGTAAAACGAAAGAGCGGGGAACGAGCGAGTGAGTTTTATGATACGAAACAACGAGTGAATAAAAACTGTACAAAGAACTTTCCATGGTGTTTACTGTTTATAATATACATACTAAGACATTTAAGATGATAATATTTAGTCAAAAACGCTTCGTCTATAAAAAATAATAAGTTACATTCAGCTAAATCATTAGGAAGAGAATTTAAAATCTCATTCAATCAACTATATAAGTATGTAAATTGTAAAAAAAAAAAAAAAATGATACATGGTTTTTGATCGCTTTTCACGACAAATCTTGTAGACGTGACCTGGATCACGCTTTGGCCCAGGCGAGAGCATTTTTTGGTCCTACCCTACGAACATCAGATGATGGTCTGCTCCGGTTTCTTGTTTTAGTTTGCCTTTCCATGTATTCTGATCTTTTCCTTTTGAGACAGTTCGAGATATCTCCCCAGATCTTTTGTCTTATGTTCTTTTCAGCAAAATGGACAGTGTTGTTCTGCCATAAAGTATTCATAAGCAATTCATGAAACGCCAAGAAGATCTCTTTCGGCGTTTAAAATTAAACCTCAGCGTGGCTCAGCGGC